GGAGGGGTTTATCTATGCTGGATTCCTGTGTTGCTGGCTCTTATCTGTAGCAGTGGGCATGTTCTGGTCAAATCCAATTTGTAAGGTAGTGGTGGGGGAGGAAGCTTTAAAGAACTAGAGGAAAGTTGTATGTTTCATAGGTGCTATACTGCACCCTGACTTGCTCATCTTTATTATTTTTATATGATCATTTTAAAAGGTGTAGGAAAATATTTGATGCCTGCAAAAAATATTCATACACTATTATTATATAAGAAGAGACAAGGATATATGTGTGAAGCACAGGGCATTTTTAGGACATTGAAACTATTCTATATAACACTATCATGGTGAACACATGACATTAATCAGTGAATTTGTATACTCCATGGGCCTTTCACAGATGTGACTCTTCAGAAGCATATCACCAGGTCTTTCCTTTGTCTAACAGTTATATTGGCACATAATCCATATATGATACAATTCAATAGTTCAAGAAAAGTTGTACAGTCATTACCACAATCCATTTTAGAGCATTTTCTTCTTTCTTGTACTCATTGTTATTAGCTCCTCATTTCCCCCCAACTATTCCTGAAATAACCCCAAGAAAACATTAATCCATTTACTGCCTCTATAGATTCACTATCCTGGACTTCATATACAGAAAAACATATTTAAAAAACTAACAACGATTACAAAGCAAAGCAGATTAAAAACCTCAATCGAAAAGGAAACAGAAAATACTAAAAATTAGAACAATTTTTAAATGGGTCAAAAGGGAGATCAAATGATAAGGTGTTCAATTTTTTCTCTCTCTCTCTTTTTTTAAGGTGTTCAATTTTTAACCTAGCCACTTCTGCAATAATTGACTTACCAATGCACTCTGCATGGTTTTTCATATCCCTGGCCTGTGATCAGAGGATGCACCAAGAACTTAATCCACATTTATTTCCTGTTCACTCTTGTATGTTTGTTTGTTTGTTTAAGCTGAAACAACTTTCAAATGGATCAAAATGGAGATCAAATGATAAGATTTTTAACCTCACTATATCTACCATAATAAACTTTACTATGCTTTCTGTCGGATGACAAGTCTATTCACTATGGTCAGACGGGAGTCACTGGAGGCTTCATCTTGTGTAGACCCTGCAAACGGAGTGAGGGATCCCACTGTCTGTCAGCCATAGCCTTCTGAAAACCAGGTGTTCACTATTTAAGCTCTGACGCCTTTCCCTCCTTTAGCTTTGGATGATGTTATTTACAATCCTCGGATCACCCAGGCTGGTGTGCTTCTTCAATGTGCACTTCGTTGATACCGCACTTAGAGGGCTGCTTATTTGAAGAAAAGCCTTTAAGACCCCCAGGTGCTTTTCTACCATAGGGGAGAGGGCTAAATCTGCTATGGAAAGATTTACAGACTCGGAAACCCTACCTAGGGTCCCTATGAGTCAGGATGGAGTCCACGGTAATGAGTTATACATTTCAGTTTTAAAAAGAGCAAATATTTGCTTTATTGACATATGCTAGTTCAATAAAACCTTTCAGATGCAGTCTATTATATAGGAGACATCGCATAGAACACTTTTAACAGAGTTAAAACTCTTTGGAGAATCAGGGACCAAACTCAGGTCCCAGGAGCCCCGGGAAAACCATCTCGCCCTGCTAAGGAGGCTTCACCGCCTCGGGACTACAACACCCACAAGGCTTCGCGGGAGTGGTGCGGGAGGAGCCATAGGAAATGAGCCCACGGAAGTGCGTCTGTCCGTCCTTTCCTGTGGAAGTGGGAAGGAAAAGGGCACTGGAAATCCGCACAAATAAAAGGAACGGAGCTGGAGGACCTGAAGCTGCAGCTTAGGGCGGGTTCCTTAGAGGCGCCAGAGGTGCAGCTCTTCCACCTCTTTCTGTACCTTCCAGTCTCGCGCCAAATTCTACCGAGCAAAACCATTTGGGCGGGGCGGGAGGAGGGTCACTTTTCTACAACAATCCAGCACCTGCAGGAACCCTGGACGTCCGTTGTGCTCTCTGATGGAAGGGCCTCGAATCCCATTTAGTGGGATTTGCAGCACCTGCGCCCCACGATCCGCTGATCTCACTCCAGCCGAAGATCCAGCGGAAAACGTGGAACCGACCGGCTCGTTTCCCGCCCTGGGATGCGTTTCCTCCACGTCAAAAATAGGAAGCAAACGAAACACTCCATAGAGATGAGATAATAAATGACAAAATAATCCTGTCTTTAAAAACAAATAAACAACAAACCTTTTTTTTTCCCACGTAGAAATACTCAGTATATCTTTTCATTTAAATATATATATATTGTTTTACATCATGCTGTTTCTTTTTTTAATTATTAAAAATCATCTTATTGGGGGCTTTTACAGCTCTTATAACAATCCATGCATCATTTGGGTTTTTTTGTTTTTGTTTGTTTTCCATACATCATTTGTATCAAGCACATTTATACATATGTTGCCATCATCATTTTCAAAATATTTTCTTTCTGCTTTGAGACCTTGGTATCCTTTTTTCCCTCCCCTCTCCATTTTCCCACACTCGTGGACCCCTGGTAAATTATAAATTATTATTATTTTCATATCTTACACCACCAGCTGTCTGCCTTCCCACATTTCTGTTGTTTGTCCCGCTGGTGGGGGGTTGGGTTATAGTCCAGTTTCCGTTTCTCCCCACCTTTCCCCTACCCTCGTGGTATCGCTACTCCCATTACTGTTCCCGAGGGGTTTTCTGTCCTGGATTCCATGTGTGGAGAGTACATGCTCCCGTCTAGCCGGATTTGTAAGGTAGAGCTGGGGTCATGATAGTGGGGGGAGGAAGCATTAAAGAACTAAACTCTAGTTCTTTACCTGTGGGTCGTGACCCCTTTGGGAGTTGAACGACCCTTTCACAGGGGTCGCCTAAGACCATCGGAAAATACCTCATTTCCCATGGTCTTAGGAACTAAGTCACCACTCCTCCATTGTCTCCAGGCAGATCTGCCCACATGCAGATACGCCCACATAAGAGTGCCAGGTGTGAAGAATGTTATCCATG